TGCCCTGTACCAGCCCCTAGTTAGGCTGACTTAGGCCTAGTCTGCCGGAGGACCCCCTATAATACACCGGGCTCCCTCTCTCTCCCTCTCTCTCTCTCTCTCTCTCTCTCTCTCTCTCTCTCTCTCTCTCTCTCTCACTCTCATCCTATTACTGCATCTTGCTAACTCGGCCATTCTGGATGTCACTAACTCGGCTTCTTCTCCGGAGCCTTTGTGCTCCACTGTCTCTCAGAATAACTCATACCGCAGCGGTGCCTGGACAGTGTGACGTGTGTGGTTGTGCTGCTGCCGTGGTCCTGCCAGATGCCTCCTGCTGCTGCTGCCATCATTAGTCATTAGTCATACTTCTACTGTTATTATACACATATGACTATTGTCACACAAGTATACTGTCTGATATTAATACATACTTTCAACATATTGTACCACAGTAGCCAGAACTATAACTATAATATTATTACTTTCATTAATGTTGTTGTAAGCTACTGTCATTACCTGCATCTCTCTCTCTCTCTCTCTCTCTCTCTCTCTCTCTCTCTCTCTCTCTTTGTGTCATATGGATTACTGTTAATTTATTATGCTGATCTGTTCTGTACGACATCTATTGCACGTCTGTCCGTCCTGGAAGAGGGATCCCTCCTCAGTTGCTCTTCCTGAGGTTTCTACCGTTTTTTTTCCCCGTTAAAGGGTTTTTTTTGGGGGGAGTTTTTCCTTATCCGCTGCGAGGGTCATAAGGACAGAGGGATGTTGTATGCTGTAAAGCCCTGTGAGGCAAATTGTGATTTGTGATATTGGGCTTTATAAATAAAATTGATTGACTGATTGAAGTGCAGCATTTTTTCGGGAACTCAGTAAATCCACCATGATTATTTATTCGTTTTGTGATAAAAATAAATGCGTCTATGTTGTTGATCACGGATGTTGATATCAATTGTTCTGTTTCATGTTTCATACATGTTTCCCTGTACCCATAAACAAACGGGGAAACACATTAACTGTACATAATTATTTATCTTTATTTCGGTCATGATCAATATTCTTTTGTTTACGAACACTGGTAGATAACTATCTTGCCACAGGTGGTCTTTGGCTGCTCCTGACGCTACCGTCATAAAAACAAGAAAGGAAGAAATCTGAGTATCTGATTGGTCGAAGAACCGAACTGAACAGTTGATATCAACATCCGTGATCAACAACATAGACACATTTATTTTTATCACAGAACTAATAAATAATCATGGTGGATTTACTGAACAGAGTTCCCGAAAAAATGCTGCACTTAACAGCTTTGTGTAATTTCTCCCCATTATGTTCCGTTGTGTGTGTTTAGAGATGTTAAAACAACATATTAATATGTTGCATTAATATGTTGTTAAAACAACATATTAATGCAACTGCTATGTTTCCTGCCTTTTTTGGAAGTGGGGAACATAGAACCTTTTTTTAGTAAGAGGGAAACATAGAACCCAGGAAACATAGAACCATTTTTGTGTAAGCAGGGAACATAGAACCTTTTTTGCAGGGTTAAATGGGGAACATAGAACCCGGGGAACAAAGAACCTGGGGAACATAGGGATGACCCCATGGCTTTACTAACCATCTTGTAACAAGCTAGCTTAGCGTATCCACCTGCTAGTGTGTCTGAGTGGAATAGAATGTTCTGGTTTTGGGGTGGGAGGGGCAGACAGCATGTTGCCTGACCCGTCCTGTGGGCTGCCTTGAGTGCAGTGGCACTGAGAACAATAAACACAGTTTAAGCTGTGGATTTCATTTTCCAAGTGTGATAGGATAGTTCAACATGTCATTCTACTTGTAAAGCGCACTGAACCGAAAAACCTGTAGCTACCAAATGGTTCAATACAAATACAGTATGTGTATTTAATCAATCAATCAATCAATCAATCTTTATTTATATATCACTTTTTATACAAAAAGAATGCAATTGAAAGAAATAGACCTTTTTCACTGAAAACCAATGGCGTTTGTTTAAAAAAAAATTCCTATAAAATAGAAAGAGCATGAAACCCATTTAAAAAGAAGTGTGCCTTATTAGGCCCACTTGGCCAAACCATTCTACACTGGCGTGGGGGGTCTGGGTCCAGTAATGTGACAGCTATTGACGAAAAAAGACTTTTTTCACTGAAAACCAATGGCGTTTGTTTAAAAAGCTTCATATAAAATAGAAAGAGCATGAGACCCATTTAAAAATAGGCGTGCCTTATTAGGCCCACTTGGACAAACCATTCTACATTGGTGTGGGGTGTCTGCGTCCAGTAATGTCAAAGCTATTGAAGAAAATAGACTTTTTTTCACTGAAAACCAATGGCGTTTGTTAAAAAAAAAAATCATATAAAATAGAAAGATCATGAAACCTATTTATAAAGAGGTGTGCATTATTAGGCCCACATGGACAAACCATTCTACACTGGTGTGGGTTGTCTGGGTCCAGTAATGTGAAAGCTATTGAAGAAAACAGACTTTTTTCACTGAAAACCAATAGAGCTTGTTTAAAATAAATCATATAAAATAGAAAGAGCATGAAACCTATTTATAAAGAGGTGTGCCTTATTAGGCCCACTTGGCCAAACCATTCTAAACTGGTGTGGGGTGTCTGGGTCCAGTAATGTCAAAGCTATTGAAGAAAATAGACTTTTTTCCACTGAAAACCAATGCCGTTTGTTTAAAAAAAGGTATATAAAATAGAAAGAGCATGAAACCCATTTATAAAGAGGTGTGCCTTGTTAGGCCCACTTGGACAAACCATTCTACATTGGTGTGGGGTGTCTGGGTCCAGTAATATCAAAGCTATTGAAGAAAAAAGACTTATTTAACTGGAAACCAATGGTGCTTGTTTAAAAAAAATCCTATTAAACGGAAAGAGCATGAAACCCATTTATAAAGAGGTTTGCCTCATTAGGCCCACTTGGACAAACCATTCTACACTGGTGTGCGGTGTCTGGGTCCAGTAATGTCAAAGCTATTGAAGAAAATAGACTTTTTTCACTGAAAACCAATGGAACTTGTTGAAAATAAATCATATAAAATAGAAAGAGCATGAAACCTATTTATAAAGAGGTGTGCCTTATTAGGCCCACTTGGCCAAACCATTCTACACTGGTGTGGGGTGTCTGGGTCCAGTAATGTCAAAGCTATTGAAGAAAATAGACTTTTTTCACTGAAAACCACTGGCATTTTTTTTTAAATCATATAAAATAGAAAAAGCATGAAACCCATTAAAAAAGAGGTGTGCCTTGTTAGGCCCACTTGGACAAACCATCCTACATTGGTGTGGGGTGTCTGGGTCCAGTAATGTGAAAGCTATTGAAGAAAAAAGACTTATTTCACTAAAAACCAATGGAGCTTGTTTAAAATAAATCATATAAAATAGAACGAGCATGAAACCTATTTATAAAGAGGTTTGCCTAATTAGGCCTACTTGGCCAAACCATTCTACCTGGTGTGGGGTGTCAGGGTCCAGTAATGTCAAAGCTATTGAAGAAAATAGACTTTTTTCACTGAAAACCACTGGCATTTTTTTTTAAATAATATAAAATAGAAAGAGCATGAAACCCATTTAAAAAGAGGTGTGCCTTGTTAGGCCCACTTGGACAAACCATTCTACACTGGTGTGGGTTGTCTGGGTCCAGTAATGTGAAAGCTATTGAAGAAAAAATACTTATTTCACTGAAAACCAATGGTGTTTGTTTAAAAAAATTCATATAAAATAGAAAGAGCATGAAACTCATTTAAAAAGAGGTTTGCCTTATTAGGCCCACTTGGCCAAACCATTCTACACTGGTGTGCGGTGTCTGGGTCCAGTAATGTCAAAGCTATTGAAGAAAATAGACTTTTTTCACTGAAAACCACTGGTGTTAAAAAAAAAAAAAATCATATAAAATAGAAAGAGCATGAAACCTATTTAAAAAGAGGTGTGCATTATTAGGCCCACTTGGACAAACCATTCTACATTGGTGTGGGGTGTCTGGGTCCTGTAATGTGAAAGCTATTGAAGAAAAAAGACTTATTTCACTGAAAACCAATGGTGTTTGTTTAAAAAAAAGTTTATATAAAATAGAAAGAACATGAAACCCATTTAAAAAGAGGTTTGCCTTATTAGGCCCACTTGACCAAACCATTCTACACTGGTGTGCGGTGTCTGGATCCAGTAATGTCAAAGCTATTGAAGAAAATAGACTTTTTTCACTGAAAACCAATGGAGCTTGTTTAAAATAAATCATATAAAATAGAAAGAGCATGAAACCTATTTTTAAAGAGGTGTGCCTTATTAGGCCTACTTGGCCAAACCATTCTACACTGGTGTGGGGTGTCTGGGTCCAGTAATGTCAAAGCTATTGAAGAAAATAGACTTTTTTCCACTGAAAACCAATGCCGTTTTTTTAAAAAAAGGTATATAAAATAGAAAGAGCATGAAACCCATTTATAAAGAGGTGTGCCTTGTTAGGCCCACTTGTCCAAACCATTCTACATTGGTGTGGGGTGTCTGGGTCCAGTAATGTGAAAGCTATTGAAGGAAATAAACTTTTTTCACTGAAAACCAATCGTGTTTGTTTAAAAAAAATCTTATAAAATAGAAAGAGCATGAAACCCATTTAAAAAGAAGTGTGCCTTATTAGGCCCACTTGGGTATTAGCACTACTCTATGTTGCTCATTGTTTTCTGCCTGTGAGAGGGAGGTGGAAATCACTGTTTAACCCAAAATGAATATCCGAATATCCGTCGAATATCCAATGTCAAACTAACTTCACCTCGGTTTTCTGCACAGCGCGCAGTTTCAGCACGATCCAGCAGATCCTCTTGCAAACAAAAAGCAGAGTGATGCCTAGTTTTCGTCAGGAGCTGAGCAGTAGGCTACTGTCGGCAGGCCGTCGGTTTAGCGGCTGTGTGACTGTCCTTTGCGCACCCTAAAAATATCCTTCACCAAGTGCACATATCAAGGGGGGCAGCAACACGGCCACGAATCCCGCCCCGGCATTCAACCTAAAGCCTCTCAGAGGAGGAGCATGCACTTTGAGCAAAGGGCCCGCGGCATGCAGAGCTGTGCAGGGGAGAGATAGGTCGCTTCGAGTTTCAGAGACACGCACTGACTACAGACCTGCGGCATTTAGTGGGGTAGCTCAGAGGAGAAGCAGTGAATGAGACTAACGGAGCGGAACACAGAGGAATAAGAGTCCGTTCCTGTGAATCATGAACATCATTGACCGACTGATGACAGTGTAGGCTACAAAATGGCTCGTATTCTAACTTAGAACTAATCACTCATTTGGGTGCAGCAGGACAGTTTCGCGACAGTTTGAAGAAGGAAAAAGACCCTCTCAAAAGCTCCCCAGCGTTTAAGGTCGATTGGGTTCCTCTTCTGCCCTTCTTTACCTGTTAGATAAGGCTTTCCGTGTTGATAAAACCAGAGGTGGAGGTGTAAAATGGACAAGGTTCAGAAGTGGGGAGTCGCTGGTAAAACGGGTGAGGAGAGGAAAACTCACGGTGAGCAGCAGCAACCTTCCAAAACGCCGCTATGGAAAAATTGGAGAGATTTGTCGGGCGTAACGATTTGCATCGTGGTATGTGTTCTGTGCCTTGGAGTTTGCATTGTGGATCATGTGCGGACCTCGGAGTTCCAATCCAGGGTTCTAAGTCTGGAGCAGCAGCAGTTCTCCGCGTGGATGGTGTCTCTAGAACAGGTGGAGCCCGTTATCCTGGGCCGACTGGAGCAGATCCTGGAGGAGGTGAGCGCACCAAAAAAAAGTCGTTAGAAACAACAGTATGACAGCTTATGATATTTGTGTTTTAAATGAGATGAATTATTTGACTTTGTCTTGACTGAACTATAACTTGACCTTCAGTGTAGTCTCATTCCACATGTGCTTGGTGCAACCCCTTAGGATAGGTTACCCTTAATTAATCCTTAATTTGCCCATTAAACACTTCAAACACTTATGTCCATTAATTCGAAAAGATAAATATTCATTCCTTTGAAATCCCCTAAGTTTCAAACGCCTCTATTAAACAAGTTAAATGAATTTGAAGGAGTGCTTTCTCCTTAGAAACAAACTAATTAATAACCGCTTTAATGGTGTTATTAACGTTGGGACTTTGGTTTATGCTGGAGGTCCGAAATAAATTTGGTGCAAACCAATGATACTGTTAGAGATGAGATTCTTATGTAGATTTTAGGTCTTTAATAGGTATAGGTATTGGGATTGAGGGTAAACAAGTTGTTTGTGTTATGTCTCAATTGGTAATGTGCTGCAAATTAACTATTATTGCATTTTAGTGTTCCTTTTGGAAAAGCTATGACATATCTTTGTAGGGAAATCTAATAGGTTGGTAGAACTTAGTTTATTTTGGCAACGTTGTTCTTTTTAATGGCTTCTCATTATCAAGCATTACAATATCTGTCATTAATCATAATGAGCTATTAGTCACAACTTGTAAACAATTGATTAAAGCTGCCCTGTTAGGAAGTGCTAGCGAAACAGTAAACACCTACCAAAACGTTGTGTGTTTTTTTTTTTTTAAACAATCAAATAACCCAAAGCTTGTTCCTATTAATGGATATTAATTATGCGACCTAATATATAGCCTAAAGCATAGGTGCTTTAATAATTATCAATAAAGCCAGCTGTAGAACGTATACAGTCTTTACAAAGGGTGCCTCATTAGATGGTGGTACCAAAATGTCTTCTGTCAAAGACTGACAAATTCCGCAATGTGAATCTGACCTCGACCATAAAGTTGAACATGTGTTATACACATCATGTGTGCATCTTCACAAAGATAACGTGAGTAGCTCTCCCTGGCCTTTCACATTAGTTGCTCTGAAAGTGGCACTCTGTGCTGCCCTTTCATTGACCACTTCCACAGTTACCCTAACAAGCTCTTCCACAGTGATTGAAGTCAGGCAGGGAACCTGATTTCCCTTCCTCTGTTTGCTTTGGCCTAACTTTTAATGTCCCCTCCTCCACCCTGACCCCTTTCACTGGGGTCAGTATAATACACCTTCCAGGAGAAGACAGAGCACAGAGTGCCTCCTGTTGGGGAAGATGGAAATATTAAACTGTGGATATGTTAGCCAAAGTTGATTATCTGAGCAAACATCAAGAAAAAAAATATCGATATTTGGCAGAGGATATAAAGTGATAATTTGTTCAGCTGACAGATGATTTTTTTGTTGTCACTTTAAAAGTAACAGTTTAACATTTTGGGAAAAGTACGTATTCTCAGCTGAAGTAAAGATGTGTTCAGGGCAATTGCCAAGATTTAAAAAGAACTGAGGTCATGAGGTCAAGTGTTCTTTACCCCCCACCCCCAATCAACAGAAATATCCACTAACTATTCTTTCTATGCAGTGCCTTTGTGCAACAGTTATTAATAGCTTGGTTGCCAGATATGGTTGGTGAGCACAGACTTTGGTCTTTGTCTATTAGAGAGATGTAGAGGTGTTGGTAGGTGTAATTTTTTTTAACTTTGGACAAAGCCAGGCTAGCTGTTTCCTCCTGCTTCCAGTATTTATGCTAAGGTAGGTAAACCACATCCCGACTCCAGCATTGCTCTTAACACACAAGCACGTGATCGTCACCTCAGTATATCTCACTGAACTACTCTTAACTTCTTCTTTAGTGCGGCACATATGGCCAGAAATGTCTGTCTGTGGAAACTGAATTTGAATCATCCATATTGAATTTGAATTACTCAACTTGAATATTTGCATTGAACAATTGTCTCAATAGCATAATTTGGAATTCAATTTATTAATTTATAAAGTCCATTAAACTTGATATTAAGTAATATTATGAAATGACATTCAGTTGCTGACTGTTAAGACTGTATTTGATTCTCAATGAAAAATCAGCTCCCTATGTACTTTGACATTCACAATACTTCTTTCACCTGTGTAACGGCAGCGACAGGAAGTGTGTGGGTTTGAGCTGGCTAAATTCAAGTTGCTACAGCTGCTAAATTAAGGTCTGTCTCCAGAGCTGCTGCTGATTCTCCTCCTGGTAAAGTGGTCTCCTAGCATTGCAGAGTGAGACGTAGGGAAACCCCAGTGCTAGGGTCTAATCCCAGTCTGCCCCAGCTTCCCGTCAGATCAGCAAACTTTGTGAATCATTAGAACTGAATATACTGTAAATGATTGAAATCCAGTTTGTGACATAATTTTGCTCATATGCACAGCTGAGGGCCATGCTAGCTGTGAGTGAGCAAATTAGTTTGGATATATTCTGTCCATGAGTAGATAGCAGTAAGCAATGAAAAAGCAATACAGTTGTTCTTCTTCATATATATACATATATATATATGTATATGTATAATCATAAATAGGACATAGTTGGGTTGATGGTGCACAGTTATGTCCAATCAGAGGTGCTGGTGATACAGTCCTGTTTTGAGTGCCTGGCTCTCTCCAGAGCCTCCTTCCTGGGGCCCAGTCGGGAGGATCTCTGTCTTCATCTTCAGACGGGCCTGGGGAAATACAGCCTGCCTCTTTGTTTAGCTCTGTGTGTATAAATAGTCATTATTAATGGGACACTAGCGCAGATGTGTCCTTTTGTAGAGAGAGATGTCTGTGGTAATTTCACCCTGCACTATCTAGAATCCACCTCTGTGTCCCCTTCAGTGATGACCAGTTTCCTCTGTTATGGAAAATGTGCCCTATGTTGTTCCTTCTTTTTATTCCAGACAAATCTGGATCACAGCAGAACCTATAAGCTTGATGAATAATGTTTATAGTAAATTTTGTTCACAGAGTGCCTGGATATGAGGCTGTTTAGAGGCTTTGTGTTTCCCATTACTGATAATGAACACATTTTAAAACAGACTATGCTAAACACATCAGTGAGTCACACTGTTACACTGAGTGGGATGTGCCTTCATTACCCTGAAAACACACACTGTAGTTGATTTGAACTGAATCCCACATACACCGACCTCCGGACACAAATACTCACTAAAAGTACCAAATGTGGATTAATCCACCGCTGAAAATACTCCTCCTGTTTGAGTAACATTATGTAAAATCTACAGTGATTGGCTCTTTTAGGAAATATATATATATATATGTATATATATATATATATATATATATGTATATGTTTTTTTTTTTGTTAGAAATAAAATGACATATTTGCAAAGTACTTAGACTTAGACTTACTTTATTCCTCCCAGAAGGAAATTCGTTTCCACTTGTACATTTACAGAGATTGATCACAAATATCACAGGCACACACATATCACAGACATCACAAAACATCACAAAACATCACGTTCATTCACAGAGGTGGACACTTTGAGTTACTAGGATCTTTTGTTGAGCGCAGCTATGGCTGCTGGGATCAGGCTCTTCCCGAGTCAAGCTTTCCTGAGTTTAAGTCTTCGGTACCTACGCCCTGAGGGTAATGGTTATTGGTTGAGTGGGTGTGTGATGTCCCGTTCTATTGATTTTGCAAAGCGTGTAATGGACCTGTTATTTAACTGTGAGGTTTGGTGTGGGATTGCATTGAACAACTGTACTACTTTATACTTTTAAAGATATATGTCTACAGTAGGAGCCAATGGGCTTGGAGCTGAGGGCCACAGACAGGATAGAGAAGTATGGAGAGATGGACTAACATATTGCTGGTTTGGCCTTTTCTTTAAATTAGGAGACAATTAGAAAGCCACTGAAAATGGAATCCTTGTGCTTTTAATTATGTAACCCATTACACAGAACATTAATTTTGGATTAAGTTTAGATTTCGAACATTTGAAATAATAGTCCAGTATTTAGTGAAACAAACTCATAGGCCTTCTTTGTCAGAGTAAGATAAGATGGATATCAAGCAGGGGGACACTGTTAACACAGCAGTGCATTAAGATTCTGCTAATCAAAGGCTTAAACATGAAGTAATAGCCTACATGCACATGAACCTTTTTAGTCAAATATGCTAACATTTACAGTGACAAATAAATAAATGACAAATAAAGGAGCTTTTTCGGAGCTCAATTACAAAAGTTTAGGCTATTGAGTAGTAAAATGCTTCATCATCCCTCCAGTTAGAGACTAGAGTTAGGGGCTGTGGCATCTAGCATCATCTCATAAAGCATCAACTGTCTCAGACGAAACAAACATGCCAGCCAAACATCTACCCCACAGTGAGTTGGAAACCACTGATGTGGCAGAGATTTTGGGGTGCAATCTGAGTTGCCAATCAGATTGTAGAGGTGGCACTGGCCACCCTGGCCACCACTTTAAAGCTGAGCATGTTTAGATGTGTTGGTAGATGTAGTTCAGCACTTTGAATGGAGACAGGCTAACGATGTCCCCCTGCTTCATGTCTCAATGTTAAGCTACGTTGGGCATTTCCTGCTTCTAGCTCTATGTTTAATCCACAGACATGACATCAGGATTGATCTTTGTATGTTTTATAACATGTTAGGGTGGATTAATGAGCAGCTGTAAAGCAGACTGAGACAGATGTCACTGTAGGTTTTATTAAAGAGTATCATCTGGTGCATTATAAAGCCTGAGCAAAAAATAATTTCTCTGTATATGTAAAACATATATTTTGTTATTGAAAAGTAAAAATAGCACGTATTAAGGTTCACAGCCCCTAGTAACAACTAATTCTCAACAGATGTCCAACTTTAGAATAAGCTGTGGGGGATCCTTGAATTAAATGGTACCTTACCCTAAACAACTGTCATAAATTTAATGGTTTACTATGAAGGATTTTCCAGAAAAACAATT